TAGGAGGTATGTTTACTAAGCAAATAGTTGGTAAGTGCATCTACTGTAGCAACTGGAGGCAGGGACACATGAATGCACATGTGCAAAGAACAGCAACTATTCACTCCCAAAGGCAGGAGCTAATGTGTCCCCTTGCCAAGGGACACAATTCAAAGTCTTATGTAGACACAAGGAGGCAGCATTTAAGTCTTCAAAACAATGCAGTAATATTCATCTTCCACCTCATATCACAAGGCAAGCAATTACAGTCTTCACTAGCTGGTGTTTCTGAACGGGTTTCAACTCTGAAAGTACACCTAGAACATTTTACTTAAAGCTACCAGGAGTGTCTTACATGGATGTTTTAGAATCAGCTTAGGTGGGTTCAGTTTCCAGCTTGCATAAGAGTTAATTTTCTCTCTTTCTGTACAAGTTCTACACCTAGCTACTGTCACAATGCATGTGAATGATTCCTGATGATCTGACCTGTGTAGTCTCCTGCTATAGGCAATTGAAGTAAAAAAAAAAAACCAAAACAAAACACAAAACAACACAACCCCATACTTCCTATTCTTTAGGACATTATTTATTGCTGTTACTTACCTTTAGTGAAAGAAAAGACAAAACCCACACCACTACAGAATGTGTAATGTGTAATTCCACAGGGGTAACAATCAAGCCCAAACTAGACATGAATTATTGTTGTTTCAGCATTAAAACTAGCAAGCTCGTATAACAAAATCCATGTAGCAAGTCACTGGAGAAAAAGTTATTAAAAAAGAAAAGCTGCTTATGTTAATTAAACAAAGAAAATCTGCCTGGCAGTCAAGAACAGCTTAGAAGCAAACACATTTAAAATATGTATTTATTTATTGGTGTTCCCCAAAGCACCCAAACACAGCTAGTATGTGTGCTCATCCATTCAGTCTTAAGGAATAAAAAAATTGTTAGTCATGTTGACTAAATCCAGTGAATATACAGCTGTCTTTAAAAACAAAAGCACATATGTGTCCACCAGATTTTGTGAAAGAGGCTATGGAAACAGAGAAAAGAGACCTTACTTCTGCTCCCCTTGAAAGGTAGGATACAGTGCAAATTCAAAACTTATTAGGCTGTGGAGATTCCCTTTGTTCTGGAAAATGCAAAATAGGGAAAAAGGTTCTCCCAGAGATTATTATATGAGGCACCAAAAGCCACCCACAAGAAAACCCACCCATTAGAAGCCAGGCTTCATCAGTACTGCTGCTCACTCCTTACTGCACATGAGGTGAGACAGACAACATTATCAACAGCTCAGTTTTCCCCTTACTCCCACAAACTCTCTTAACAAGTTAATCCCTACGTTGCAGGAACCACTTGAGAGAAATTAGGCTATGCCAATATGCAAGTTGTCATAAATTTCATTTCTTCTCAGATCTGAGAGGTTAACCAGGAGACTTAGAGTGAATCCCACATCCTTTCAAGAATTTATTCTACTTCTTCTTATCTTTTTCCCTAATTTAGATCAAACTCTTTTGGAAAAGTCTCTGTATTTTACATTAGCACACATGTGAAGGTCAACTACAGCACATTGCATGGTAGTCATATCAATAATAGGTACATAGCTATTTTATATGCTAACCATCATAGACATACTGCATTCTGAGATACTTCAAAAACATCACCAGAAAAATCAGACATGACGTGTAGAGACTGTAATTAAGATTTTCAGATGCATTGTTTGCCATTGAATAAATATTCAAGAATTTCCAACTCTTAACTATAATATCACAGAATACTTTCATTTTTCTGAAATTATAAAATTAAGATGTCTGTTTCCAAGTCAGTTTTTGTATTTTAAAGCAGAGATTTCCAGTGTAACCACACAGAACCAACAACTTCATGAACAGTAGTATTTAGTAATCTCTTACATCTTGCTGTGAACATGTGAATTTCCATTTAGGTGTTGCTGCTTGATTACATTACAAAGAATAGTGCAAGTATGGTAATAACATTGCAATAATCAACCTGAATGAAAACATAGCAAGCACAGTGCAGGATAGCCAGAGACACCAGATCCTTCTTCATGAAAAAAGTTGTGATAAATGTACTTTCACATGTTCGTGTATCCTTCTACTTGCGATAAGTGCTAAAAGATGGTGAGTTTATTTTAAATGCATATACACATAATTTTTATTGTCTTGAACTATTAAGATATGAATTGCTGTGCTGAATAATGCCTTTATTACTACAGATGTCATGAGCACATTGCTTGCCTCATGAGATTGTTTACTGAATCAGAAAATTTCTTCTTTTGACAAGAGAAACCAGAGACATGTAAGGTATTAAGAGTTTCTTTAAGAGTTTATTTGTAATCAGACCTGCATCACATCTGTAATAATTTCTATAGTCTGTATTTTCTCCAGAAAATATAATCTGTCAGTGAAGATAACAAAAATACCTGCTTTTACAATGTAGTAAGCAGATAAGTCAAGGGTAAAGTTTTCTTTTGTGCAGTTCTCTCACATGCAGTACATATCTCAGCTACATATGTTGGATGCAAGTGGTGTGCAGAACACCCTTTGTCAATAGGAGATACTAAATGCATGCCTTAATTTAGGGATATGTGCTACAGATAGGAGATGCATTATTTGGCTCTCAGAGAAAATTATTTATGCTACAGTATTTTTTTTTTTTCAGAAGGAAACCACAGAAAACTTCCTCAAGGCTCTGTGAGGCTTCCTACCTTTTTTCTCTCTCCAAGATATTAGACTTCTGACAGCACTGAAAACAATGAGCATGATTTAATGGTTGAGTAATAGTGTGTCCAAAAGGGCTAGGACATTAAAGGGATGTTGTAGAAGAGCACAATGGGGTGAGGAGTGGAAAAGGCTCACACGAAGTAGTGGTAAAACCCTGGATTTACTGGCTTTTGAAGTTACTCTTTTTCTAACATGATGACTTAAAAAAAAAAAAATGGACCTGCAAACAAGTTTCCAGACTACACAAAGATTGTTAGAATAATTACCAGAAACATATAAAAAAGACATCTTGCAAGTTTCTGGGGACAAAACACACTAAAAAGAAGTAGAATAATCCCAAAGAAATGGTGATTTTGCTGTCCTCTAGTTCTCCTTCCTACAGCACTGTAGGCAAATCCGTGGCAAACACCATTTTGCACCACAGAGTCTCTCCAACAGGCTTGCTCTTCCTCATTCACTAAACTTGCCTGGCCATCAGCCTCAGAATTGCACCTTTACCCATGATCAGTTTTCTTGGGCTGTCAGAAAGCAAAGATGCAAATAGTGTTTAGAAAAGAGCTTTGTCCCAACAAAAGGTCAACTGATGAAGAAGCTAATGGTAAAAAAAATTACTATTATTATAAACACACACATGCCTCAAGACCCAACTACTTCCACCTTTCAAAGTTTGCTTGGCTAGGAAAATTCACCCAGTGTCTATAGAGGTGAACCAACTGTGTACTTGCAGTCCAATTCAGTTTTCATTATTAGAGGATTTAGAACAACTTTAATCATGTCAAATCCTTTGCATGTTTTAAGAGAAAGAAGATTGAGCAAAATCATTATCTAGTATGAGTCAGTGCTGCTAAATTAAAAAAAAAAATTGAACCAAGTAGATTTCAGAGGCTTATATTACAGTGTGTGGCTATTCATGACTAATCCTCTGGCCATGAGAAAGAATCCTGAAATTGTTTAACACAAGCAGTAGGACACAGTAAGTAATAGCCAATTAGTCAAACCAAAAAGTCTCTTGGAGAATCATCTAACTGAGTATAAAAGCAATTACAAAAGTTTGTCTCCTTCTTTGCAGACTCTGTGCATCTGCTTCTCTGTATTTCTAAGTGTATTAGCACAAGAATTCAGTTGAAGCAGAGCTACAAGCCATTGCTAGAATAAAATATACTGTTGTTCATTTCAGATGTGTAATAATGTAATCATCATTACCACAAGGGAGCATAAAAGGGAAAGCTACATATATTTAATTTGGATTTTCAGAAACATCATGGATTTCTTCAGCTATATAGAGCAGTTCAAGTATAAGTTCTGTATTACCAGCTTAAAGCAGTGCTATTTAAGGTGAATCTATGTAACAATTGCAAATATGTAGTCACTTTATGCTCAGACAGTGAGAAGTATCTACCATGACAGAATTCAGACACAGTATATTTCTATCCTTCAAGATATTAATAAATTCAAACACTTATTTTTTAAGCCACTCCAGTCCTTCTGTAAATCAAGACCCAGCAAACTTGCAAAACTGAAGGAAAAGTTGGCGAATTCCTTATCAGCACATCAGTTCTTCTTTCAGTATCAAGAAAATTAAAAGGAATAGTTGAGGCACAAGTGATTTTTATGCAGAAGTAGAGAAGTATTTCAAATTAGTAGGCTAAAACTTCAGTACTTCTTTTAACTTCTTTAAAAAAAGACATAGATTATAGGTCAATGACAGTCACAGATCACAGTCACTACAGTCTTACTGGATTGGGTTTTTTTCCAAGATGAAAAAAGAAATCGGTTCATGGAACTTACCAAATCCACTTTATACTGCCATTTCACATAGTCCATGTTTAATCAAAGCAAAGTACAAACTTGTGCTCCAAGGCAGTCTGAAAGCATTCTGCTACACTCAACAGTAAACTATTTTTTGATGAAGACAACTTCAGGGAATCGAATAACTCAAGAGCAGAGTCCATCCAGTTGAACTGAATTAAACATTGCACGCAGAACTTACATAAAAGTGCACTAGCAACAAGCTTTTGAGAATAAATCCATATCATAAGAGCTTGTGCTTGAAACTACTTTTATAGCTATGGTTATTTTTTCTGTTAAGAGGCACTGCATAAATATGGAGTTAGTCATCTAATGCACTTAATATTTCTCAGCTGAGGACTATTGCAGCTTTGCCCTATATCTAGGTGTGATTATACTTTGGTTTGCTTTACAACAGTAACATTGCACTAGCAATACAGCTGATACTAAAGAGAAGGCTGAAAACTGGAGGATTGAAAAAACCAGCCCACTTTACTTCTTTTCATGCTTCTTAGTTAACTTTCCTCTTTCTAGCTGGAGGCTTGTACTGCTGCTTGTCCGCTTCTCCTTTTGCTGGCTCTCTTGGGAAACTTGCTGTACTGCTCGGAGGATAGCAGTCTGCACAATCTGCTTGCTGGCGTTCTGGAGCTTCACTTCATCTTGCTCCGTCCCTGGCTTCTCACCTGTGGAACCAAACAACGATGTAAAGGGAACTAAGCATTTGTGTATGCTCCATGAAGACTTGAAGGATTGAAAAGGGGAGAAAATAATGATAAAAAAACCAACAACCCACCCTACAGAGTGCTTGGGAACAGTTTATTTTATAGGAAACTTGCTAATACAGAAAATGTTGAAGTAGGGTGGAAAGTGCCTCTGTGTGCTGAGTGCTATAGGACTGAATGAAGTGGAGCACTTGGAGTCATCCAGCTCAGTTACCTGCTCCCTAGCCCCAGGGACAGCTGGGGCTTCACAGCTGAAACAAGCACAGCTGCATTTTGCAGCAGGAGAGGGAAGGAGTTTTTTTCTCATCCAGCTCTGAATCACATCCTTTTTGACTTGAGCTGTGCTTCTGGATGGGGAATTGGACTTCATTTTGCAAGCCTGATATGTAGTCCCTCACCATCGTACAGAGAAAAGGCTGTTTCATTAACATTTCTGTTCACTTTTACTTCAGATTAAAAGCCCTCATGCATCAAATTCCAATGGACTTCAAGGTACAAAATTTTGTAAAGTGTCAGTTTATTAATCCTTAGCTACATTTGCAAAAATATTTGCAAAGCATTAAAAAATGCTCAGATTTCTATAGACAAAACAGAAAACCCCCATCATCTAGAGAAACTTAACAAATACATATTTCTTATGTGGCACTTTCTTGTTTTGATAAAGTGCTAAAATCTGGAGAAGAACAAAGTAATCTAGTGTGACTACTGACATTTGATAATAAAGAAGCGTCATTTATGTTAAGATGTTTCTCTTTTGGAAGTATTATGACTCCTAACACAAACGACGATTTGGCAGGACAATAAAGAATGCTGCATAACGTTCAAAGTTGATCTTGACATAAAAAAAATAATTCTGAATTAAGGTAACATACACTTATTGGAATTTAGGAAAAGGTAGACTTGGTTGATAATTGAAATGCTTAGGCTAGGTGCTTATTTGCATCACCAGATTTGGTTTTAAAGTTTTTTAAGATACTCTTCTCAGTTCTTTCTTAATTGATTCTGTTGGATTTAAGTATTTCCTTAAATGGGATTTGTATTTTACTGTCTGTTTTGAAGCCATATATTAAGAATTATTTCTTGAGAGAAGTAAAACAGTGAATTAAAGGTCAACTGCTTTTACGAGAATTCCACATCTGGAGTTGTGAGAAATTCCCAATGCTCTTTAAAAATTTTTTGCAAGAAAATTTAAAATATAGACAAAAAGTAGAATCAAATGTTTACTTTAGGGAAGACACTACAAAGATCTGATACCCTTGAGGGAAGGGATGTCATCTAAAAGGACCTTGACAAGCTTAAGGAGTGGGCCCATGCGAACCTCAAGAAGTTCAACAAGGCCAAGTGCAAGGTTTGGTAACTGGGTCAAAGCAATCACCAACGTCAGTACTGACTGGAGGATGTATGGATTGAGAGCAGCCCTGCGGAGAAGGACTCAGGGGTACTGGTGGTTGAAAAGCTGAATATGACCTGGCAATGTGCACTCGCAGCCCAGAAAGCTAATCATATCCTGGGCTGCACAAAAAGACATGGGACCAGCAGGTCAAGGGAAGTGATTCTCCTCCCCTCCTCTGCTCTTGTGAGACCCCACCTGGATTATTGCAGTCAGCTCTGGAGTCCCCAGCACAAGAAAGATATGGACCTGTTAGAGCAGGTGCAGAAGAGGGACATTAAAGTGGTCAGAGGGCTGGAATGCCTCTCCTATCAAGTAGGGCTGAGGGAGTTATCATAGTTCAGCCTGGACAACAGAAGCCTCTGGGGACATCTCATTGTGGCCTTTCAATCCTTTAAAGCGGGCTTATAAGAAAGACGGAGAGAGACTTTTTACCAAGACCTGTAGCGACTGGATAAGGGGCAATGGTTTTAAAGAGAAAGAGGGTATATTTAGATTGGACATAAGGAAGACATTTTCTACAATGAGGGTGGTGAGACCCTGGAACAGGTTACCCAGAGAAGTTGTGGATGCCCCATAATTGGAAGTATTCTAAATCAGGTTGGATGGGGCTTTGAGCAACTTGATCTAGTGAAAGATGTCTCTGCCCATGGCAGTAGGGCTGGACTAGATGATCTTTAACAGTCCCTTCGAACCCAAGACACTCTGTGATTCTACGATTTGTGAGTACAAACCAATCACCAGCAAAATGATCAAACCTTACTATGTGAGAAAGAAATAATTCATTATCTCCAATATTTATCTGAAAGGACTTCAAAAAGTATACATTCTTCTATCATGTTCATATTACACGTTTTGACTCAAAGTAAAATACAAATGTGGTTTAATTCTGTTGAAATTGAATAATGTAAAAAAAACCCCTGCAATTGTACTGAGATGATAAATTTTGTCTACAATTAAGAGGTTAAAACCATGAAAACTTAGAAAGCATATTTTAAGCTGGAAAAGGAGACTGAATGGAATCACTTGAATTCTTGGCACAATCACCTTCCCTGATTCAGTTTATTCCACTCCTCAGCACTTGAAACAGTGTTATTTGGATAAAATTCAATGTTACTTAACAGTAAAGTACAGATATTTCTCTGTTACTCAAATATGAACTCACTTTTTATTACACGATGAATTAGTCTTCTTGCTGGGCTGAAAAAGATCTGCCAACTCAGCTGGTGTTCAAAAGATACTATGTTAACAAAAGTATGGATAAACATGGAAACGTAAATACAGATGAGTATTTTGGAATAGGCTATGAGGTTACATGAAATGTGAAAAAATTTGCCAACCCTATAGTCATGAAAAACTAGAAACAAAACAACCCAGAACTTACTGTTAAAACATCCTGTCATTAAGCATGTTGCTGTTGAAAACTACTTGGTTTTCTTTCCTTAGGGATGCTTCATTATTTATTTGGTTCTTGCTACTTAATCTACAAAATCTGAACTTCAAATGTTTTTACATTAGGAAGGTCATCCACAGTAACAGTTGCAAAAAAAGGACAGATATCCAGTGAATTTCTACCTGAGTTTTTCAGTTGTTTATCATGTAGCAAAGCCTACCTGAAAAGAACCACTCAGATAAGTGAGACCTCTGCCCTGCTCTAACTCAGTAGATGATACTTTTATTTGCTGGGAAAACAAACTGAGACCAGAGAACCCAAAGCCTCTGGATTACTTCTGCCCTGTCTCTGATGGTTTAGGCATGGACAGAAAGGAAAAAAGGTCGCACAAACAAACTCTTAGCAATTTTACATCTGTATAACACAGCTGTGGTGATAGTAACCCAGTTATTAACAGCTAAGTGGCTTTGGACACGGAGAGAGTCAAAGACATTGCACTGGGGTGATGTCACCAATGAGACCATTGGCAGCTTATAGTGACACTGAAAGCAACAGTGAAAATAATAGCCCTTTCTGAGGGGGATATCTGACATAATGTAGAGGTCTGAGCCTGCGCTGGGACCATTACGTGTAGGAGCTGGACCACCAGTCAGGACCCAGACACATCGAGCAGTCTGACACAAACGTCCAGATCCCCTGTGTGTGTCCATCTGGACATGACCCTGGGCAAATGGTTCTTTGTGACCGTGCTTGAACAGGGAGTTGGACAAGATGACCTCCAGAAGTCCCTTCCAACCTCAAGCCTTCTGTGATCCTTTGATCCCTAGCTGGTGGGGCTGCCATAAACCCCAACTTTTCCACTTCCTGAAGAAGTAAACAGCAGTCTCTAGAAGACTATCCCCACCACATCCTCTTCTAATTATTTATTTCAGGGAGAGCAGATAGCACAAAGCTGTTTTCTGAGAAGCTCATTTATTAATATGCTGGACTTACTCTGAGCAAGGAGAGAGAGATTGACTAAGGAAAGCAGAGATGACTCATGCAAGGATCCCAAAGGGGCTGAGCTGGAACATATCTATCAAACTGCTCCACCTTGCTGAAATACAGACTGCTGTGGACATAAAAAGGCAGAAATGTGAGTGCCTACACAATTAATCCGGCATTTTAAGAACAGCATATTTTCAACTAAGTAAAACATAGATATTGCTCCTTTTGTCTAAGAATTTGGTGTTTAGCTAGTCAAAATAAGGGTTACTAGGTTGACAAGATACAATTAATTTTTATCTATGATTTTTTAAAGATTTGAATAATAACTAGTTCCATAAAAGTTCCATGACAAAAGGTCACTTGAAGTACGTGCTGGGAAAAACTTGCAGGATAGTAGAAACAGCATTCTGCCTACTAGTTATCCTTGTCTAATGGCTACTTTTGTCCTCCTGATATCAGAAAATCTTTTTTACTTAGTCTTTAAATGCTCACCTGACTTTTACAGGAAGTCAGCACCCTAATTCTGTAAATAGAGAACTGAAAATCCAGGTTAAGTGATGCTAAATGCAAGGTAGCAATTTTATCATTAAGACATTACAAAGTCTCTTTAGCATGTTTTTATTACCTTATCTTTCACTTGGTAAGTTTTATGCCAACTAACAAAGCAGACGAAAAAGAATTTGCAGACTCCAGCCTGGTTCTGCAATCTAAAGTATAGTTTGAGAGATTCAAAAAACCTCAAAATCTTGGACTGACTGCAGGAATCAGACACGTATTCCACTCTCATCTAAAGCAAATGCCATATATCTGTACCTCGAAATTCCCTTGCCTTGCTTGAAGATGTTCCCCATGAAGGAAAATATGTTAGCAATTTGGAAAAAAAGAATAAAGGCATTTGAATCAGACTCCAAGTATTCATTTGAATTACTAGAACTAATATTAGTTTAAGTCCAAGAACATCCTGTGTGGGAGACTCTGGACTATGCGCAGAAAAGCATACATGGAAAATGATAGCTACAGAGAAAGAGCATTTGTCAGAGATTAAATATGAAGAACTTCACTCTGGTTGCACATGGACCTTCTCTCATTTACACACTTTCCTTTCTTCAAAGCATCTGGAGTCACTTCCTTTCTAACCCACAATCAATGTAGTCTCCTGCACTTTCTTTTGATATCTCCTGTGTCTTTTCC